AGTCGTCCCACCTTTTCAGAGACCACAATCGTAAACTATTGAGTCGTCTTTTCCTGGGGTGAATGAGCAGGACGAATGGTGAGGAGCAAGAACATACCCTCAATGCTATTCCATGAAAATCAACAACAGCACTGTAGGACAGTAAACTCCCCCACTTTCACCAAGGCTAAAAGTAATCTCTTATGGTCAACCTTTTACGGGCTATAAAGACCGGGTTGAAATGATATCATTACGACCAACACTGTGGAGTAGTGCCGTAGCACTTCTCACAGTGATCACCAATAGTAGCATCTTCAAAAATCGTAAATTCTTCGTAAGTTTCCACTGCAGCCTGGGATTACCTGCGAATCAAATTGAAGAGATCGTCTGAGACAAGTCTAACCCACCAAGTAGAGAAGGAGTAGTAAGTCTGAATACGCGGCCTTTGGAAACCGTACATACGGTAGTCCATCGATCGATAGCGATCAAAACACATCTTCTTACATTCCAACTCTACCGGACGGCATTCGGAACAGCTGAAAAAAGAAACCAACAATGGAGTTTCATCCGTGTTATGAAAAACACGACTGCTGCGTATCGCGAATATCACGTTTTTCATAGAGTTTCGGGTGTACTCCACTGAATAGGAAACATGTGCAAGCTCTACTCACAATTTGTCCTGGGGGTGCATCCACGTGAAATCATAGCGTCTTTGGTTCATAAAGCGCGACTCTAGGGACACGGGCCTCGGAGGCTTCGTCCCTTGATGCTTCAGCTGAGCGAACGGTAATAATATTGCCTACTACAACCATACCACACCTCCTGCAAATCTAGATAGGCCGAGTAAGGCGTCGCCAAGGTACAGCAATAGAAGAGGAAGAGCAGAGCTGAACGATAAGACTGAGTAACACAGCAGGGAGATATAAACGGCTTTACTTTTTCTCTCCCATTCTGTCCACATACCAGAATTCTTACGAAAGTAAGGGTCCATGTCGAGGATGAACTCCCGACGTGAATGCCACCTGTAAGAAGACAGAGTAAACTGCCAGGGTAAGTTGTCTGTATTCACCTTGTTAGCATTCCTGTGACGTCAAGCCAACGAAGGATCTTCTGGTTGAGCGTCTCAGAGGTTGAGACGTAGCCGAGCCTCTGTAGATGGCGCGGAACACCACGTGAGCAGTTGCGCAGGAGCGATGACATGAATGCGAAAGTTCACACGAGGATGATGCGTAAATGATTATGTTTCCGCAGAAACTAGGATGAGCACGGGAGCATGGCGACAGATATTTCAGTGATAGAAAACGTAACCAACATCACCACAGCATAGACTTGGAAAACTATTCTGAAGTGTTGCACAGAGACTGAACAGAGAACAATAAAGAATTAGCAGGAGTTTGAAGGAGTTTGAAGGAGTTCAGCTTTCCTAGAGTCATTGACCGACACAGGACATGATAGAGAGGATCTCGGTCAGAGTTCTTGGGGTTTCATGTCCAATTCGCATATCTTTCGAAAGTTTTCGCGCACGCCATTGTGATCGATTTTCCCCGAAGGCATCATGCGCGCACTAAAATCGGTAGACCCGTCTGGTTGAGGTATGATCACTACTGAGATAGCTAGTATCAAAAAACCCTCTCCTGAGGAGCTTACTGAGGTTACCTCCCCTGAGAAGGAGAATGACTACTACGACCAGTGTTGGAGTAGGAATATATGCTCGCTTTCCTCACCTGAGCTCAGGAGTTTCCTCTCTAATTATAGAAGTCACATACGAATTCGGGTAGAAGTGTACAGAAAAACCAATTAGAATATGAGCCAGTATGGCGCCAACACATGTGTTGAGCATGTGCATATATCCCTGGGAACTCTCAGTAGACTCGCTCTTGCTGATGTAATATCTTCATATATGGGAAATTCGGGAGAGAGATCCCCCGTAAACCAGTCCAGGAATATATGTTTGGTTTCCTCAACTGAGCTCGTAGGTTTCCTCACTATTTTATGAAAAATCACGATTTTGGGTATAAGTATACAAAAATCAACGATAATTTCGCAAAATTTCCTCGAGATTCCCATATTCCTAGCAACACATGTAGTTGACCATGTGCATATATTCCCGCATTGCCGTAAACTATCTGTTTATAGTAACCTAGTGCTTTTATGTTATAAGAGAGAACGTTGAGTTTAAGGATATATCCATGATCAAGTGCTTCATTAATATGCAATAGAATTGTCCTCATCTCGAGAAAAGGTTGCCGAGGAGTGAGCATTGTGAAGTATTGACTTCACAACAAGGTTGGTAACCCTCATCTTTGCTAAGTCAGGTTTGTTATTCTCATTACGTACCTATCTGTGTGTTACAGAGTCTCGTTGGGTGATATTCGAGAGATGTTCGGCCTTTTACGGTATGGCAAGCGTTTGATAGGTTATTGCCGTAATGAAACTCCAGACCTACAATCCTCATCTGAAGACGCAGGGTGCTATCACCACTCTACAGCAGATGTCGAGGACCCCCATCACAGGTCAACTGCTGGTGAAGGGCGGCGTGGCGGCTAGTGTGGGTAGGTAGATGCTGGTGGTCCCCTGTCGTGTTTGGAGAATTTCATGATTGCGAAATTTGTGGTATTGGAATTTCACCCGCGATGTGAAAAAACATTTCGCGATTAACTTTACGGTGAAGAATTGGGAAATCGGTCGCGGAAATATATACGTGCTATAATTTCATGACTGATTTCATTCAGTACTGCAAAGTATTGCAGTACTTCGTGTGAAACGGGTGAAACTTCAATGGAGTTTCACCCTAGTGATATGGAGAATACTCGTAAAAAAATATTATATTACGACTAGTGCATAGCGCGAATATCGGGTTTTTCACCGAGTATTACTTCACTTCACGCAAAACGGGTCGTGAAACTCCAATGAGCTCTCTGTGGAAACTGTGGAATAACTTGATTGTCAGTTGTATAACATGAGGAATGTATTTGGTCGTCGTTGTTGTTCAGGTGCTGTGCTTGGTATAGTTATATCATTGGTGGTTAATTGCACGTTGGTAGAGATATCAATGTCGGCATTCTTTGCCCTATACTTTGGCCTACTATTCATATCTGTGGGATGCGTCATTTTATGGCGTATATCTACACAGACTCAAATGGTAGTCAATTATTCAGCGATTACTACTACTACTACTACTAGTACTACTACTGTGCCTACTAGTATTAGTAGTGTTAGTATTTGTAGTAGTAGTAGTAGCCCACCTTCGGAGCTTGTCACTCATACTGGTGTAGGTGAGCACACCAGAGGAATCGGCTAGGAAGAAGCAACTACAACTGTTCGCATCGTTGATAGTGATAAGCGGCTTCCTATGCTTCATATTAGAGAAGAACTGGTTTGTTGGAATGTCACCAGTGTTGAAGATACCTCTGTGAGTGGTTATGAATGTAGGAAGTGTAGGAAATGTGGTATGGCAGATACTCCATCCTGGGTGTATCGGTGTCCTTTGCGCTCACTTTTTCTGTGGTTGACATGATCAATTACCTGTTGGGGTTCTTACAAGTGGTCGTGGCTCGGCCCCTGGTAGAGAGCACCAGCCAAGTCTACCTAGTAACGCTGTTGAGTAGCTGCTCGTGTGATGGGAAAGTTGAACAGGTCCTATTCGTAGCCCTGCTGATGGGAGGCACATTTGGCTTCATATTCGGAGTGATGGATGTGGAGGACGAAGTTCAGTATCAGGTGAAATATTTTCACAGTTTTTACCACTCTTTTGACGAATTGGGCAAATCTCAAAGTTGCGGTTGTGTGCTTTCCCCAGCTGAGCTCAGGAGTTTCAAAAGCTAATTATAGAAGTTTATATACGAATTCTAGTAGAGGTATAATTTTTCCATATATTATCATCAACACATGAAATTGACCATGTGCATATTTTCTCACACTGTTGAGAGATGTGGACTTTGCGATTTGCGTAGAACTGTGCAGTGCATAGTGCATCATGTGAAGGTTCGTCTGGCGTTACTACGCGAAGAGCATTATTGCTATCCTATTGGTGCACTCTTGGGCGCTGTTGGTGGCTTTGGGAATGAGTAAGCTCGTGACAGTGTTGAGGAAGTCCCTGGTGTTGCTACTGAAGCAGTTGTTGTGATCATCATAGGAATCATAATTTATTCCTCTTATAGTAGTAGTTGACTTTATATATGTGGGAAGAATATATGTTTGGTTGTCTCAACTGAGCTTATGAGTTTCCTCACAACATCATGGACATCTACAAACGACTCTGGGTAGAAGTGTACAAAAACCAGGGATAATTTTCCCGAGATCTCCTTCAGAATTTTCATATTGTAGTATAGTTCCTACACTGTTTTGTGACTAACACGAGTCGCCTCATGCCCCGAAGTAGATACCTCCGTCAGCAGAGTGATGAGTATACAGCTCTGCAGAATACGGAATTTGATGATGACATTTGAGATTTCGATCGACTAGTGTTATCGTATTGATAGTGATATGGTTGACATGTGTGTAAGAGAGATTATCCCTCAACTACCTAGTACTTGCGTTCCCGATAGGAGGTCTTCGTGACGAAGGGGCGGAGCTCACTTAGTCCACGTCTATTGATTCGATCAATGAATTTGACATAGGTCCTCGGTTCGATCCCTGGGTAGGACATTTCTCCGTCATTAAATTTTTTCGTGCATATCTTTTCGAGTTGATCGAGTTTTCTGATCTTTCCCAAAACCTCCAGAGGAGTCAAGTAATTCTGATTAGTGATCACATGACTATGAGATTAATGATGTTCATAAGTTACGATCCATAATTGAATACTCTACGGTCTTGTGTTCCTAATGATTATGGTAGTTCGTAGTACACAGTTATTGTAGTGTAATGACTATCCACATCGGAGACAAAGTTTATTTGTGGTCGAACTTCTGTCTCGACTACTCTGCTCGTCAGCAGTACATGGTGGTGGACATTGAGGATGATTGGTATGCGGACGGCAGTGATCCTTACCTTTACCGGGTGAAAGGGTTAAGGGATGGTGAGAAGTGTTGGTGGAAGATGAGGAGGACTTATGCTTGTTGGGTGGCAACAAACGCAAGTGGTGGGGATGCTCCGAGTGCTGGAGCACTTTTCGGAGTTCCATTGACTCCGCGAGGCAAGGGAAACTAGTTGCGAAGTTCAACAGAAGCTGGATCACTGTTTAGACTTCCCTGTGTTGTTTAGTGTGTTTGCCGTAGTTGGTATAAGTGTTGTGTTGTCACTCCTAAGGTGGTTTGGGCTATAATGACTAGCAATGAACTGTAACAGTCAGGCTTAAGGGGGTATAACTATCGCTAAGAAATATCCCAAATGCAAGACGTGCAAGTACTTGCATAGTGATTACGCACCTACGACGGTCGTGATGAGACATAGAGATTCCTCTACGAAAAACAATACTATGATGATGGACCTGCTCATAGGTTGAACCATGAGAATTAAAGCACACTCACGTTTGCCCATGTTAACAGAGTACTAGCTTGCGTACTTCATAGAGCATCGTTTTGTGTTGTAGCTTGCCACGCAATGTGTCGATATCTAGCGCTAGTCTACTATTGCCTACACTGTTCGGATTGAGGTGTACCTGTGCAAAGTGCGTTGCTCATATGAAGTTACAGTTCTAAAGGTTTTTATTGGTCATTAATGTCTGCATTTGGTCAACGTGGTCGACAGTTCTTTAATAAGAACAACAACAATGATGATACTAAGAAGCGTGCTGGCACTACTAAATGGTCCGACGTGCGTACGCAGTGCTTGGTTCAAAAGTATGGTCTCTTTCCCTCGTTGGTGCCCACTAGTGATAATATTATGAAAAGTCTTAATGGTGACAACTGTGAGTGGTTGCGTCGTCCTGGATATGCTGCCTCTTTTCTCGGGCAAGATTTAAAGGAGTTCTGCGACTCGTTCGACAATATGACAAACTTGATTAACAACGAGTATGTCACTGGAGTACTTAGACCATTACGTACTCTGATTATCGAGAGTGATGCAGCCAAGATCATTCAGCCTATTGGTAATAGTGTTACCCAATTTCAAGATAGTGAGATTGAGGATGATGAAGAGGAAGTGGCTACGGCAATGTATACTTTTACTACTGAGCTATGTAACTGGGCTATGCTGCGTCCAGATGGACATGCTGATTCTGCTGGCATGATTAAAGAGATGGAGGCCTTACTGGAATGTATTACTCCACTGGCTAACCTATGTGTAGATATACTTATTTACTTAAGTATTTTGGATCATGGTAGTGACTACATTCTTACTTATTCTTAAGACTATATTCTCCCTCCCCTTCTAGAGCTCTTAAAAAGAGCACTATGCAAAATTTATTGATGCGACTGAGACGCATCCTTCCAAGTTGATGTAGGCGGCTTGACAGCTCCGCTGTGAGAGAAGAGCGGGAAAATAGCGGGAAAACGGGATTCTCGCTCTAATCCCGTCCCGCGTTTCTGAAAAATTTTCTCTCCCGCTTCCCGTCTCCCGTCTCGCGGGAAGCGGGAGGGAACCGAGTCTCGCCGAGAGCGGGACTCGTATG